TGGGCAGTTGCTCCAGCCAGCCCTCCTGGGGAGAAGCCTGCCTGCTTGCCCTGAAGCAGCAGCCTTAGCTCTGTCATTACCCGCCCCCACCCCTCCCCCCCACACACACCCTGTTCTGGGTCCTTTGAAGGCCTGTGTCTATGTCCCAATGGCTGAGTTCTCTGTGCCCTGAGTACTCTCTGTCGCCCTGGGCTGGGCTCTGCCTGCGTCTGGTTTGCACTATACCCATCTCTGTGCCTCCTTCCTTGCTTCTTGAATCTCTTTCACCTTCAGTTTGGGTTTGGTGTCCTCCTAGGTTTGAATTCCTCTGTCTCTCCTTCCATCGAAATCCTCTTCCCTACTCTTCATTGCTAGCCTGTTCACTCTTTTTAAAAAAATATATATAGTGGGCTTTTTTAGAGAAAGTGTTTTATTAGACATGATTTGGCTCAGAAAGGATCAAGCTTAGGGAGAAATGCTTGTGGGTGATAAAGTGAGAACGTGTGTGTGTGTGTGTGTGTGTGTGTGTGTGTTATGAGGAGATGACAAAAGCTGATAGTTTGGGATACAGAAAACCAGGAGGGAGGTGCTGAGTATGGAGGCTGGGCAGCCCCCCCCCCGCACTTGTTTGCCTTCTTCTTGGGGAATTCTGTATCTTTTGCCTTCTCATCTTTGGGGTACTTATCTCATTGTGTCCTCTCTCAGCTGCTTGTTCCTAGTGGACAGAGTCCTGAGAAGAGATGAGGGGTGGGGCCACCTGGCTCAGGGGTGGGCCTCAGGTGGTGCCAGTGCTGGGGGAAGTGTGAATGAGGCTGCCTCATTGCCATGAGGTGAGAATGAGGCAGCAGGAGGTGCAAATGAGCAGTCGGCAGCACTGTAGGAACCCATGTCAGAGCTCAGAGCCGACCCACCTCCAGGGCTTGCCCCCCAGAGCCCTCAACCCCAGCAGCCAGAGAGCTCCAGAGCCCAGTTTCACTGGTAGAGGGGGGCAGCCACCATGCTGTTTCCAAGGCCCTTCTTCCTGCTGCCCTAGACTATAGGCCCAAAGCCTTGGGAAGGAGCCCCCTTTTGTGGATAGCCTCCAAGTGCCCCACCAGGTAACTCTGCCCCTGGGAATAACTCCTTCCTCTTCCACCAGGATCCTGTTTTCCTCTTTTCGTCTACTCAAAAGTCTGTGCTATACACGCTCGCTTGTGTACACACTCACACATCCACATGCACACATCCCCATGCGTACACACATCCTTTGACCAAGAGCTACACACACAAACATGTGCGCACACACATGCACACACACGTTGCTCTCCTTGCTCACTCGTGGTGCCCACTGTTTGCCCATTCCTCCTGGGTCCAGGATCAGCCTTTGTGCTTCTCAGATGCTGGGAGGCAGGCTTTGTCCCTATCTGGTTGCCCCTGGGATTGTGGGGGAGGCACCTGCCGCAGCTGGGCCCTCTCCATGCTTTCCCTGAGGGGCTGGAATTTGAATGTAGTCTGAAGCAAGGTTGGTGGTGGTGGGGGGGAATTGGGAAACCTGCTGGGGCCTCAGGCAGGTGAGTGCAACACTCTGCTCTGCTCCAAAAATACTCTGTGATCTTAGCTCTTTCTCTAGAAAACAGTGATGTCACCGGTAGCCAATCAGCTTCTGGAAGGTCTTGCCTCCTCCTCCTTCCGCAACTTGCAGGGGAGAAGAGGGAGAGGTGGAGGGGGAGGGAGAGAAAGAGAGATGCACAGAGACACACAGACAACATACAAAAACAGAGAGAGATGAAACACAGAAACACACAGAGACAGAGATCCACACAGAAAAGCAGGCAATATTCTGCACAGGTGAACAGAAATCCATGTATCCCCAACACACACACACACACACACACACACACACACACACACACACACACACACACTGATAGAGATGTAGAAACAGGGAGACAGGCAAGTAGACAGAATCACCCACATAGAGTGGGAGCTAGAGAGAGAGAGAGACGCACACACAGGGACTGGAAGAGAGACAGAGAGACGTAGAGACATGGAGAAGGAGCAAGAGAGCAGACAGACAGCAGAGACAGAGACAAAGTTAGAGAAAAACAGAGACAGAGAGACAGTTATGAAGAAGAGACAAAGACGGGTGAAGGAGACAGGCAGGAGCACACCGGTCAGAGATGCAGTAAGAATCAGATCCAGAGGCACATGACACATAGACAGATAGGCAGACACACAGACGCAGAGACACAGATGATGCTCTCCCGGGTATCCTCTCTGTGCTGTGGTGGGAGGTCCCAGCAGCAACCTGGCACTCAGCCTCAATGAGCAGCTGCTGTCCTTGGTGCTGCCTGCAGGGCCCCGGAGGGGACGTGTGTGGGGCTGGGGAAAGCCCTGGTCTAGTTCGGGTTGTGTTGGGTAGTGCTGGTTGTGTTGGGCAGTGCAATGGAAGGCAGGCGGGAGAGGCTTCCCCAGCTGTCCCTGTGACTGGGAGGTAAGCTGGACAAGGTGACTTTGTGGGCACGGAAGCCTGGTGTGGGAGTGAGGAGTGTCAGGCTGGATGGAGGTGGAGGCTGCACATCTCCAACAGGGGCCTAGGCAATTAGGGGTTCAGGAACATGCTGTCCAGCTGCGTGAAGCAGTGTCTGGGTTAACCTCCAGCTCCCTGGTGGGGGTAGGGGGGTGTCTCCTCGCCTTGTCCCCCTCCCCTGTCAGAAGCATGGGTGCACCTTGTTCAGTTGTATGGTTTGTCCTGTACCCAAGGTAGGGTGGTTTCCTCTTAGCTGGCTGAGGTTAGTAGGCCCTAGGGACCCCTCCTCTGTTCCCAGCATCCTGCTCTCCTAATGGTGATGTCTGGGGCTTCACAGCCTGATAGGTTTGGGGCTTGGAAACTGGAGGGCTGGATGCCCCGTCACCCCCTTCAGCAGCAGGGAGTGGGAGGAGTGGCCTGAGAGGCCAGCTCAGACCTGTGAGGTTTTCCCTCTGGTGTTGCCCCTAGCAGCCTCTGCTCAGCGTGCTGGGGATTCCCTGCTCCTGTATAGAGCACTCTTGTTTTGTGCTGCAAACATCAGACTGAGTGGGGGTGGGGCGTAGGAGGAGGGCGGAGGGAGGGCTGGCTGTGCGGCTCCTCACTGGCTCTGGTGGGAAGCAACCTGGTGTAGGAAGATAGTCTGAGTTTACCCTTGGCCACAGCAGCCTGGGCCGTGGGTCCACACAGAGAGGCTGAGGCCCCTCCACTTTCTCAATGTCCAGACCCATTCGAATTCTTGGCGGGGGAGGAGGGGGAGGGATGGTCATGGCTCTGCTCTTTGGGATTGGAGAGGGAAGGGCTGGCCTGCAGGACTGAAGAGAGCTGTTCCCCTCTGATCTTCTTCCTCCTCTCCTCTTTCCCTGCAGGTTCATGGTTGAGGGACTTGGGCAGAGAGGGGCAGGGTGCACTGGGTACCCTCTGGGGGAGTGAGTGAGCTCCTCTTCAGAAAGAGGTCTGGGGGGAAGCCGGCCTTGGGGTGGGGGCAGAGGTCCTTGAACATGGGCAGGATCTCCTTGTCACCTCCTTCTCTGCATCCCAACTTTGCTGTCCCGTTAGCTGCCCACGGCCTGCGAGAGGAGCCCGAGTTTGTGACAGCAAGAGCCGGCGAGAGCGTGGTCCTGAGATGCGACGTGATCCACCCCGTGACAGGACAGCCCCCGCCCTATGTTGTGGAGTGGTTCAAGTTTGGGGTGCCCATCCCTATCTTCATCAAGTTTGGCTACTACCCTCCCCATGTGGACCCTGAATATGCAGGTAAGGTCTGGGCCCCTTTCCTGCCAACCCTTGGTTTTGTCAGGGCTGCCCTCTGGTCTAGGGACCCAGCTCTCAGTGGTCATGTTTCCTCCTGCCTTTATCTCTATCCCCTCCTCTCTTTTTCTGACTGCTCTGTTATCTCTGTTTTCCACAGTCTCTGCCTCTTTCTTCCCATCCTTTGGACTCTGGTAGGTTTTAATTAAGTGGTTGGGAGGAGAGGGAAGAGGGGGTGAAATGCAGACACGAAGCCCTCCTAAACCTGGGGTACAGCCTGGGGTTTGCAGGGGCAGAGGCAGGAGCAGGAGACAAGGCGACCTAGAAAGCCCACCCGGTGGGAGTGCCAGGCTGGGCAGTGGGCCGCTCTGTGAAGGAAGAAGCTGAGTCAGAGCCGCTGCCCGTGATGAGTCGTGCGGCATCGGCAGCTGTGGGGTTTGCTCTGTCTGCCTGCACCCACACCTCCCTCTGGCTCTGAAGTTGGGCCTCATCCCGTCCCTGAGTGTAAGTGTATGTCTGTGCCTCTGGCAGGCACCTGCTCTCTGCCTCCTCTGCCACAATTACTCCTGCCAGCATTGACCTCACTGTGATTCACTGCCAGTGCCCGCCCGGGGCGTGGGGCATGTGTGTGTGCGCACGTGTGTCTGTGCACATGAGATGTGGGAGTGAGTGTACACACATGTGAGAGAGAGAGAGAGAGAGTGCGTGTGTGTGTTGCATATGCATGTGTGTTGGGCTTTAAAAGAAGAGAGGAAGCCTGCGGGACACTGCTTTTCTTTACTTCTGGCGACTGAGGTCTGCATTGCATTTCTCTCAGAAAGCTTCCATTTCTCTCTCTTTCTCCCTTACTCTCCCTCTCCCTCCTGTGCCTATCTATGTCTCTCTTTTTCTCTGTGGCCTGGTTGGTTTTGATAGTCTGTTTTTTAGGCAGCTTGCCAGTGCTGAGACAAGGAAGAAAGCAGAGAAGGTTGTGACTCTGGGGTGAGGGGTGGGCTGAGATGGTGGGTGAGGGGAGGGAGGACCCTAAGGGTTGCCGGGCATCCTCGCTCATCATGGAGGAAGCGGGGGCTGCTCCCCATTCTGCTTGGCTCCTGCTGCAACGCTTACCTTCTCAGTGCTGTGAGACAAAGATTTGAGCGAGACAAAGATGGCCTCCTAAGTGGAAGAAGATGGCTCTGCTGGCCAGCCCATGCCTCGTTCTCAGGCTGATAGGCCTTGTGCCTTCAGTTCCTGGAGCCACTGGGCTCCAGCTAGATGAGCAACCTCTCTGGCACTGGCATCAGGACCAGGAGGAGATCCCAGCGCCCTGGTCCCCAGCCTGCCTTCCCTCTGTGCCGTGCCGTAGGGTAGTCAGACAGAGGAGTGTGGGGTGTGGGACTCAGCTTATATAGAAGTGTTGCTCCACCTGAATGGAGGTGTCCAGGACCTGCCCTAGACCTCCCACATTCCCTCCCTCCCTCTCTCCCTCCCTTCCTCCCTCTTTCCCCTCACCTCTGTATCCCTCATGCCTTTCCTTTGTCCCAAGAGATCGTCAAAAGAAGGCGAGTGTTCTAAGCAACTGAGGCTCTTCTCAGTGCCAAATACAGAGTTGCAGTTGCAGCTTGGGTGGGGCCAGCTGAGGCTGGAGGGCTCGGGAGGGAGTGTGACTCCATGGCCAAAGCTTTATGCTTTTGGCTTTGCCACCTGTGGCTGGAGGATGGTGCCAGCTATTATGTTGGGGCCCTGCCATGGGAAAGGGTCTGCAGGTTATGATTGGCTGAGGTGGGGGGTGTTGAGCTGCTGGCCTCACCCTGATGGCTGCTGCAGCTCTTGTCCATTTTGTTCCCAGGCCGGGCGAGTCTTCACGATAAAGCATCGCTGCGGCTGGAGCAGGTTCGCTCTGAGGACCAGGGCTGGTACGAGTGCAAAGTGCTCATGCTGGATCAGCAGTATGATACCTTTCACAATGGCAGCTGGGTCCACCTCACCATCAATGGTGCGTACGGGCCTTCTTCCTGGGGATGGCAACCTGGAAAGCCCACTCTCTGAGGGCCTGCTTTAGGGGAAGCCTGTCTCCCAACTGCACGCCATTCCTGCTGCAGAGAGGAGCCTCAGCACGGCTGGGCCCTGCACCCCCAGAGTTGTCTCCCCAGGGCCTGTTGGGTCAGTGCAGTCTGAGGAAGGAGCAGCCCCCTGGGCACGAGGTGGGGGTTTTGTGTGGGTGGTGGTGTCAGAGTTCCTTAGAAGGAGGTAGGAATCTGGTTCTTGAAACCAGGAGGGTTAAGGCATTGTGGAGGCCAAAGTGGTAGCTGCTGGCACCATTTCCCAGCCCTGGGAAGGCCCTGCTAGCCCAGGAAATGCCTCCCCCAACTCTCGAATGGAATTCCCAGAGACCCACCATTGCAGCCTCCCCTTTCAGGTTGACATTTTGGTTCCATGTTAAATGTATTCATTTGCATAATATGTACTGACGCTCTGCTGTGCACCAAGCCCTGCACCAGATGATGGGAAGACAATGCTGAGCAAACCCAGACTCCGTCCCTGCCTGTACTGGGTTTACTGTCTGATAAAATGGAAGAATCCTGGGAAGAGTAACAATTTTAATGGCTATCAGTTATTTATAACTCAGGTTAAATGAATTGTGCTATGTGCGATGCTTTTCAGTAGCCAGCCCCAGGGGAATTTGCCGGTTTCCGGTGTTGGCCTCGGCTAGGGTCCTGGGTCTGTGATGGTGATGACACCAGGCACTGGGCCCCCTGGGTCTCCCCTATTGGAGTGTCCCTCTTGTGTCACTGGGAGTCCTGACTTGGGAGGAGATCCTCTGGAGGAGCTCGTAGAGGCTAGAACTATGGAGAAAATTTGAAGGAAAATGGTCCCCATTGCATTGGGGGAGCAGGCTTTTTTTGTTTTGTTTTGTTCTTCTGGCCAGACCCTTATTGTTCTTTATTCAGTGTATGGCAAAATGTATTCAGCCACCACTGTGTTATAGACACTATGCTAGTTATTGAGGCTTCAATGGCATATATGCTTTGGCTGTGCACACACAGCTTGGGTCCTTATGGTTTGGATGTCTGCAACTGTAGATGCTGTGGTTGGGAGAGAGAAATTGATGTTGTTCCTGTCTTGGAAACTTCTCTCAGCATTGATCTGCCCTGAAGGACAGCTCTGTCTGCCCTACCTTGTGGGGCTGGGTCATCCATGGATTGGGTCAGGCCATACTCTTTCTGGCTTGAGGATCTATCCAGGGTCCTGGAAGCACAGAGTATTTTAGCCAGAGCATGGGCCTCTGGGAAAAGCAAACCTGGAGATGGCAGCCCTAGGTCATTGTTAGTCCGGGCTGCCTGACCCACTAGATGCAGTTGGCTTCTGTCAGCTTGTCCCTAGAGATTGATTGGAGGCTGATTTTAAATCTTGGGTGGGTTGTCCCCACCACCTAGCAAGAGATTGAGTCACCTCTTTCTGATGCCAGCTGTTGTGTGTGCCAGGAATGAAAACTCATCTTAATATTAGTGCAAGCAAAACATAATTAAGAAGGTAAATCTGCTGCTAAAAGCTTCACTGGCTGAACACTGAGCCAGAAGTCCCCATGTTGCTTTCTCTCTCTCTCTTGCCCTTTCCTAAACTGGGCTGAAATCTCCAAGTGCCGTCTCCTTCTCCTTTCTCATCATCCTGCTGATGTTCATTTCAGCAATCTGAGACCTAGGCATTCAGTAGACACTCACATAACGGGAAGTAGAATTTAGTGTAGAATTGTGTGTTCTATTACGTCTCTGTCCTGGTTTTCACAAGTGGGAGTTGATTCTTTGGGAATTCCTAATAGCTCGGAGTGGATTGGGCATGGAACAAAACCCTAAAGCGATTTAGTTTATTTCATGAGTCCATTTCATGTTAGCTGTATGATCCTGGGCAAGTTAAGTCACCTCTCTGAGCTTCAGTTTTCTCAGTTATCAAACACAATGCCTGTTTGCAGTGCTGTTGTGAGGATTAAATGAAATGCTGTGTGAGAGAGTGTCTTGCCCAGTGTCTGAAATGTTAATTACATGTGGGTAATTATATGCAAGATGCTGGCTGTCCTCTTTCTCAAGAGCAAAAACAGTTGAGATCAGATGAAAATGTACCAGCAGGGATGTGGTAACACAGGAGGGTCCCTATGGCTGGAGGATGCAGAGGACTGTGGTAGTTTGAAAGTCCTTGCGAATTCACCAATAATTTTCCATTCAAAACACATTCTTGGATGTCCACTCTGGCAGGCTCTGGGGATATGCAGCAGTGGGCAGGCAAGTCCAGAGACAATTGCAACATGGACTTGGGAGCACAGGGGATGGAGACCTTTTCTGAGGAAATGACCCCCATGCAGAGCCTTGACCAGAGAGGAGGAGTTAGCCAGGTTCCGGAGTGGGAGGTGGGGAAGAGTATAACAGGCAGAGGGAACAGCATGCCTGAAAGGCCAAAGGAAGGAGAGCTGGTGCACTCAGGGAATGCGAAAAGGTTGTTTATAAGGAAGTGTCAGGCAGAAAAGCTAAGAATATGTACCATCTGCTCCAGGCTTTAGAACCAGGGCTCCTCATAGAATACTTTGCCCTTACCAAGAAGCCTACGTCCCAAATAGGTAGAACAGCACAGACACCTCCCAAGGTGACAATGAGATCTCTCTCCCTTTTCATTCCCTCTTCCCTTAACCCCAAGTTCTGAGGTTCCTTCCAGCATAAATATTTCCATTATTAAAGAAAGAGCCTGGAGCGCCAACATCCGTTCCTTCCACACTAGAATGTTTAATGTCAGGCATTTCTGGACAGGGATCCACTTTGGAAAATGAAAGGCCAGTGCAAAATTAGAATTACACATTGTCTTGTTCTTCTGTGTTTTTTTTTTTTTGGAAGATCAGTTGGGTGGAAACAAACCCAATTATTTCTTTATCACATATAAAATACCTGAAAAGCCCAAGCCAAGCCTTGCTTTAGGTTGGTGAATTCCTTGGAGGAGAGACCAGCCTATTTCTAACCTGCACTATTAATTATAGGGCACTTGTAAAAAAGAATTAAGCCTGGAAATTCAGCTGGCAAGCTAACACATAATTCAGTAAATAATTGAGTGTCAAACCATTATTTTCCTGAAAACTCGAAATTGTTCAAAGTACTTTTCTGATTAGCACCTAAATAATAAAGTAATTATGTAATTAGTAACTAATTTGTCACTTCAGGACGTAATTTAATTTATTATCTCTTCTTTTAAGCTTGACACCAGAGGTAATAGAGGCTGTGGCCATATTAACTGTATTTCAAGGAGCAGGCTTGGTGAGGAGGGGCTCTGTTAGAGACGAGCGCACATTCCAGGGCAGGAAGAGAGGCCTGGAAGTTAGGATTCCAAGGATCGCTTTGTCAGGAGTTGGATGACTTTTACCATTGTTTTTGGTATATTAGACACTGGATGAGATTTGACTCTCTTGAGGATGTCTGTTGTGTGCTTTTTTTGTGTGGGTATGGTGAACTGTGCTTCTTAATTCATTCAATATTCATTCACTTTCCAAGTGCCCCCTGTGTGTCCAGGCTGAGCTAAGGGCTCAGGAGATTATCGAAGAAAGTGGTCTTGTCATGTTTGTGCTCTTAAAGAGTTTTATGTATTTGCATTTGAGCTGGTCTGTAGGTGTGTGTATGTGTGTGTGCATTCATTCATTCATTTGTTTGTTCGTTCACTCATTCATTGAACAAATGTTCGCTGAATGCTCTATTACATGTCAAGAACTATGCTGAAAGCTGGCTATATAGTGGGATTTGCAGAACAGATCTCTGCTTTCAAGGAGGGTTAGTGATAAGTGATTTAAAGAAAATAAAACAGTCAAAGGGGATAAAGAATGCTGGAAGTGCTATCTCAGATGGACTGACCAGGTGAGGCAGAGCTGGCATCTTAGCAAAGAGTTGCATGAACTGAAGGAAGGAGATCTGGCTATAGAGCTCCAGGCAGAGAGGACGGCAAATGCAAAGGTCCTGAGGTTGGATGTTCTTGGCACATTCAAGGAAGACAAAGAAGACAGTGTGGTTAGAGCACATTGAAGGGGAAATATGATAGATGAGGTTGGCAGAGGGGTGGGGTGGGAGGACCAAATGTTAAAGCCCTCTGACTAGTTCTTGGGTCAGAGCTGTCTGGAGAGGAGAGACCCCTCTGAAAGCTTCTCAGAGGCTCCTGGGGAGATGATAATGATAGCACTGGCAAAATAACCAACATTTTACATGTTACATTTTACAAGATCCTTTTCACACACTTTATCTCATTTATTCCTCACATCAATTCTGGAGGGTGGGTGGGTGGGCAGGTTTAAGTAAAGCCCAAAGAGGCTGAGTAACTTGCCCAGGGTTACACAACAAGTGACAGGTTGACACCTGAACTTGGCCCTGATCTTTGGGTGCCTTGAGATGAGCTCAAAATGGCCTGCCCCAGCCTGGCGTTGTGGACCTGCAGGGCTGGTGTTCAAAAGTGGGGCCATTCCTTGTCACTTCAGAATATAGAACTGATAGTCCAAGGCGGCAAGATTGACTAGATTGCCTCTACAAGCAGCTCAGAGAAACAAGACAGAGTCTCTTAAAAGCTGATTATCCAAACAGGATGGAATTTTAGTTAAAACTCCAATGCAGGTGATGGTGTACGGGGACAAGCTAGCATAATCAGAGGAGACTTAAGAAGGGCGCAGCCTGCAGTGCAGCCTGGCTTTCACAGATAAAGGCAGACAGCCTAGAATCTCAGCAGTTCTCAACCTGTGGGTCACGACCCCTTTGGGGTCAAATGACCCTTTCACAGGGGTCGCCTAAGACCATCGGAAAACAAAAAGATATTTACATTATGATTCATAACAGTAGCAGAATTGCAGTTATAACGTGGCAACGAACATAATTTTATGGTTGGGGGGTCACCACAACATGAGGACCTGTATTAAGGGGTCGCGGCATTAGGAAGGTTGAGAACCGCTGGCCTAGATGGAGCCAGATAGTAAATGTCCCAGATGTGAGGGCCTGGCTAGGCCGGGGTTAAGGAAGTATGGGTATCCCGGAAGATCATGAGGTGAAAGATTGAAGGATGATGGAACAGTCTGTGGAGCTGGTGGCAAATGTAGGCTCTGTGAGGGCCAGGGGAGAGCTGTCTGTGTTAGCGCTGAGTTCAGTGCTTTCCTACAGATGCTTAACAAACGTGTTTATTGGGAATTAGCAAGGAAATGGGAAAAGTTTAGAATTTGGACCCAGCCAGACTGACTTTGAATTTCAGGTCTTCTGTCCCTGTGTAAGAGTCATGGGCGGAGTGTTTTACCTGTCTCCGCCTTCTTTCATCCTCCACCATGCAGAGCGTTACGCATGCTCACACGGGCATAGTGCCTGGCACAGGTGGGTGAGGTGTGCAGGGCAGCAGCCTGCTAATCCCACTCTGAGCCTTTGTGGTCTCTTTGCAGCTCCTCCCACCTTTACAGAAACACCCCCCCAGTACATTGAGGCCAAGGAGGGTGGTAGTGTTACCATGACCTGCACAGCTTTTGGGAACCCTAAGCCGATTGTCACCTGGCTCAAAGAAGGGACACTCCTAGGTGCTAGTGGGAAATACCGGGTAAGTGTGGTTCTTCGTTGGGGCCACTCCCTTTCTTTGCCTCCTTCACCCTCTCCAAGGCTGTCTCCCACTTCATATGACCAGTGACACTGTGCAAAGACACAGATGGGAAATAAAAATAGCGAGCAGACTGGCTGATGTCTGTGTCGTTGGAGGAAGATGGAAAAGGAGGCATCTGCCTTCATATCCCCTAGGTGCATGAGCCCCAAGGCCACCTCCACCTGAGAATAGTGTTTGCAGGGCCCGTGGGTGGGTGCTAAGCTCTGTTTCACCTTGGTTTCAGGTGAGTGATGGGAGCCTGACGGTGACATCCGTCAGTCGGGAAGATAGAGGCGCCTACACCTGTCGTGCATACAGCATCCAGGGGGAGGCTGTTCATACTACTCATCTGCTTGTCCAAGGTAAGAATGATTTATCCAGCCTCTTTGCGCACCGGGCCTTTTTCAGGGACTTCCAGCTGAGCTGAGGAGCGTTTTCCAAGGGCATGGTTCTCAGAGCTGGGTGCACGTGGATGCGGGCAGTCCATCAGGAACAGGGTGGGGCTTCTCCACCTATTGTGTGCCTCATGTCTGGAGCTCCCATGGTAGCCTGTTGTGGTCGTCACATGGGTGACATGAGGCCCCATGCTGGGCGGGTTTCTGGTTTTTTAATCTGTCCAGGTAATGTCATTCCATGTGTCCACCTTCCCCAGGGGAGAAGATCTCCTTTAGGTCTCCATCCATTAGTGATGGCATCAATAAGTAAAGATAGGAATTCAATCCAAACTTCAGATGTTTAAATAACACTGAGGGCATTTGTGCATTTGGCAGAGCTGGGGTCTGTATGGTCAGCACCCGGAGATGCCAGTCTGCCCTGCCTGGGGCTCCAGAGTGCCCCAAAAGGGAAGGCATCTGGGCCCTGGGGTCTCACTCTGTGCTGTGACCCTCCACCCGCTCCGCCTCCAACCCACCACTTGCTGGAGGAGCTGATGAGGGTTGGTGGCAGCTGTCCAGGCTGTCCGGGCTGCTGAGGCACGTGCTCTTCCTGCCTCCTTCTGACTTGGAGTGCTGAGTGGCAGCATGGGCCAGAGGTCCCTCTGCAGCTTGGAGAAGAGCTGGCCTCTCAGGAGAGAGCCAGGTGGCAGCTTCAGCCTGTCTGAAAGCCAGCACTGGGGACTGCTGGAATTCTACCCTCTGTTCACTCTGCTCTCCCCTCCTCCTCTCCCCTGAGCTGCCCTCTTACCCTCTGCCTGGTAAACAGCACAAACCCCTTCTTCCTTCAGAGGCAAGATTATTCCTTGCTCTGGACTGGAAGATTGGCCTTTCACCCTCCCGCATGCCTCCCGCTTGGGGCTTTGCTGGAGAAAAGGATGGGCAAGGAGACCCATGTGTTTATGGGGGAGGGTTAGCCTGAGCACTGATAGCAGCTAGGAGCATCTCCATGACAACTTCCTGGGGTTGTGCTGCTAACTCTTGGGGTCCAGTGCTGCCGTAGCGCTCCATCCCAGGGTTCAGGGCACATTTTCTGAGGTATCTCACAGCTTCCTGGGAGGCCCTCTTGCTCTTGTTCTCCCCTGCCCCCCCCCCCAGGTGAGGTCATGTTTGTTTCCTGTGTCCCCAGGGCCTCCCTTCATAGTGTCCCCTCCTGAGAACATCACTGTCAACATATCCCAAGATGCTTTGCTCACCTGCCGTGCGGAGGCGTATCCCGGCAACCTCACTTACACCTGGTATTGGCAGGATGAGAACGTCTACTTTCAGAAGTGAGCACCCTGCCCTGAGCCCTCCGGGGGGCCCCAGCCAAGTCCCCAGGGGCAAGGCTCCTGAGAAGGGGATGCTGCAGGCTGCCTTTGGGCTCTAAGAACTTGGAGAGCGGGTGGTTGGTCCACATGTCCCACGTGTGAGGGCCAGTGTCTGCACACTTGAGAGGGACCCTGGGAATGTGAGGGCACACCAGGTCTCCTTCCTCATGCATGGGGGTGAGGGTTCTCACTGTTATCTTACCTCTGGTGTTTCATGGAAGACCCTGTTCTCTCACTTGCCAACACTTTCGCCTCCATGTCTCCTTGTCTCCTCACAGTGACCTGAAGCTGAGAGTTCGGATCCTGATCGATGGGACCCTGATCATCTTCCGGGTGAAGCCTGAGGATGCAGGGAAGTACACCTGCGTCCCTAGCAACAGTCTGGGGCGCTCCCCCTCAGCCTCGGCCTACCTGACTGTGCAGTGTGAGTAGGGGTGAGGGAGACCCTTGGTTGGTGGGGGTTCCAAAAGGTTCAGACCACATTAGCCAGACTGGAGGCTGGAGGGCAGCAGACACCAAACGTCATTCGAGGTAATATGGGATGGAGGGATGACCGAGGCAGGAAGGAGGGACAGCCCAAGAAGAGGCCGAAACCTCGGCTGATCAGTCGAGATGAAACAAGCCCTTTGGTGTGTCTTCTGTGGGCCAGGCATCACTGCATGTGCCGGCTAACTCATTCTATCAGCCAGGCTTTGGTTGGATTCGAGAATTGGCAGACCTTCTGAACGATTGTGCTTGTACTGAATGCTAGCCAGCACCTCTGTACCTTGAAAGAGATGCTCTTTGGTGCGGTATCTGAGGGACTGTAGCTTGAACCTGTGTAGGGTGAGATTTCCTGCCAGCTCTCTGCCTTCCCCCACCCTGGCAGGTGTGTGGGGCGAGGGTACAGAACCCTCTTCTGGGGTGACTTGATCCAGTTCTACTAACACCTGTTCCTCCTTGGGCGTCTCAGGGGCTGCCAGAGATCCAAATGAATGAGCTGCTGCTCCTGCCAAAACAATCGAGGGCTTTTGTGCAATCACAATCATTTAGTTTGCTAATCTTGAATACTTCAGCATAGTCATTGTTTCCCCACCCCCCTGGCGAGCCGATCACTGTGAGAGAGAAGGATGAGTAATGAGGATTAATGTCTTCCTTTTGATTTGCTGTTGGCCCTGCCACTCAGGCAACAAAGGCCCGGTGTTGTTGCTGTAGGTGACAGGCTCTCCATCACTTGAGGGCTGGTGTAGAACTGTTCACCTCCAGGGGCAAGAAGTGGCAGGGTGAGAAGTATAACAGTCTGGAGCCAGCATTTGCGCTGGGGACAAGTAGTAGAAGAACAATTGATGACTCCAGGAGGTGGAGCTCCTCTCCAGCCCTGCTTCACAGAGCTGGGTGTTCGTACTGTCTGCCGTTGAATGGGCATGGTGGTGGAGCCAGGCGAGCCTCGTCGAACTCCTAACCTCTTGTTCTCATCGTTTTCTTTTCTTGGCAATGATTTTGCTGCTGGGGGCACAGGCGTAATTTCTCCACTTCTGCTCTCCGCAAATTCCAAGGACGTTCAGCATGCTGTTTTCTGAGTCCCACAATTTTAAGAGCTATGAGGTCCAAGAAAAGCTGTGTGACCCAGGACATCAGGTCTGTCCCACCCAGACCTGCAGTAGGAAAAAGCAAGGCAAAAAGCTATTTATAAGTGACTTACCATGTGCCCTAAGTTGTGCTGGATATGAAGGAGCTAAGGGAAGGGAAGACTCCACTTGGAGCAGCATCTCAGCTGGCTTATGTCCCCTGGGCAAGAAGGTGGCAGTGGCGGAGGGAGGGAGCCAACAGGGGGTGATCTTTGGACGGGTGATGAAGATAACCAGGGTTGAGGCCCCATTCTCGGAGCCATGGGCCAGTTTTCTTCTGAGAGGGGGTGTGGTTTCCCTGTCTCTCTCCAGCCCCATCACCCATTCCCACTTGTCCTTTTTTACCTCCTTCCTGCCTTCAAAGAGAATCCGGGGGGTGAGATTTTCAGGTGGGTGAGACAAGGATCTTTATTTCTGCTAAAAAGCAGTGTTCAGAGTATTTCCCATTCATAAACCCTTTGAAAATCTTGGAGGAAAAAAAAAAAAACCTCCACCATACAAAAGTAGGAAGCTATGTCTAAATATATAACTCGGCCTGGTATTTATGTAATGCTGTTCTCTGAAGAGCTCCAAATGCTTAAAAGATACCAGCTCATTCATCCTCACTGCCTCCCTGGAAGTTCTGGATCTTTCTCCTCGGTAGCCCTCAGGGAAATTGGGGAGAATCAAAAGGTGATGACTCACCTATATGACAGGGTGTGCGGCTCTTGCTGCTGTTCCGGGAACCTGTCATCTGTTCTGTGTCCAAGGCTGATTCTGCCTTCCAACTGCACAAGTGGGAAACTGAGGCCTGGGAGACTGGGCAACCAGCAGAATGGAGAGGAGAGAACCTCCTGTGGGTCTGCCTCTGCCCATCTTATGCAGAGCGCTGCCATTTCTCTTTGGGCTTAGGATGTGGAGAGAGAGGAGCTGCTTGGTGATAAGGACTTGGGATTAGGAGCAGGTGGGGGAGGGTGTGGTCAAATGTTGACTTTGAGGTTTGGAGTCTAGTATGTAGGGGCTGGGGAAATGGGCATGAGAGCCCCTGCCTGGCAATACTGTTCATGAGTAGAAACATTTGAGGAGCGCTGCAGACTGGAGCAGGCCAACGCGTGCCTTTGCATGCCTCCGAGCATTCAAACAGAAGTGCTTAAGAATACTGTAGGCTGGACAGACAAAAGAAGTCTGCAGCCTGCACTGGGTGGCCTCTGGGCTGTAAGCCCAGGAGGGCCAGGGCTTGTCCATCTTGTTATAGATAGCACTTAGCACTGTGTTGAGCAATGAGGACATGCAGTGTTTACTGAACGGGTGGAGGGTGTGAAAGGTGGCGCCTTGGGGTATCTGTGTGGTGGCCCGGCTCCCTGCCTGGATTTCTCCCTTCTTGACTTCCCTTGTATCTTCCTTTTCTCCCACCCCACACTACCCCTCTGCAGACCCAGCCCGTGTCCTCAACATGCCCCCTGTAATCTACGTGCCCGTGGGAATTCATGGCTATATCCGCTGCCCTGTGGATGCAGAGCCACCGGCCACTGTGGTCAAGTGGAACAAGGATGGCCGCCCCCTGCAGGTTGAGAAGGTGCTAGAGAGACGCATGTGGGGTCACAATGAGATGCACCCTGCTGATACAAAGGTGCTGCCTCTGGGGGTCTGGTTCCCTGCTAGGACCCCTCCACTTGCCACCAAGAATTCTGGGAAAGCAAAGAGCTGCTTCCCATGGAGGTCTGTGGTCCGGCAGGGCACTTAGACAACCTCGTCCCCAGGGTAACCGGTGCTCTGTCCGGGCCTTGCCCCCAGGTTGGCCAGTGGAGATGGCCCAGCCCAGGTCTGGCCTGGTGGGTCTGGGACTGAGTGTCTACCCCCTGACCGTGGCTCACCGCTCTGTTGTCTGCTCTGGCAGAATCTAGGTTGGACCTTGATGGAGGATGGCTCTATTCGAATTGAGGAGGCCACAGAGGAGGCTCTCGGCACTTACACCTGTGTGCCTTACAATACCTTGGGGACCATGGGCCAGTCTGCCCCTGCGCGGCTTGTCCTGAAGGTGAGGCCCAGGACTGCGAGCAGCCTCCATGTGGCGGGCACCTCCAATGCCCGCCTTCATAGCCTTACTGTGCTCTCCCTAGGACCCCCCGTATTTTACGGTGCTACCAGGCTGGGAGTACAGGCAGGAGGCCGGCCGGGAGCTGCTTATCCCCTGTGCTGCTGCAGGGGACCCCTTCCCTGTCATCACATGGAGAAAGGTACCTCTGGGTTCTGGAGCTCCTGAGAAGCAGGGTGGAGGGGAAGGACCTAGTAGGCGAGTCTGTTCTGGGGGACCAGGTGCTATGGAGTCGGGGTGACTTCTAGATGGGCGCCCTAGAAGAGGAGGCTGGAGGGGTGCAGGCCGAGTGCTCAGGCACTGCCCTCTCCGTCCTCTTCTCCGGCCCCTGAGGTGTTGGTGGCTTCTTTTCTCCCCTGCCCGACCCGACTCCTCCCCTGCCGGCCTGCTCCCGCCCTCCTCCTTGCCCCCTTGTTTGGCCAAGGTAGGGAAGCCCAGCAGAAGCAAGCACAACACCCTGCCCAGCGGGAGTCTCCGGTTTCGAGCCCTGAGCAAGGAGGACCACGGGGAGTGGGAGTGCATCGCTACCAACGTGGTCACCAGCATCACTGCCAGCACCCACCTGACTGTCATCGGTACGCAGCCGCGGGCAGGCGGGTGGTGGTCTGGGTGCGAGGGAGGGGTAGGTGTCTTTCCCAAGTCACTCCACCCTGAACCAGCAGTCTGCCGCGGGCAGCCCGAGACCTCTGTGGACTCTGTGTAAGGGAGGGGACACGGGGCCTGTCCTGGGTAGGTCTTTTTCTGATGAGGACAGGCAGAGTGTACCCACCAAGCCCCTGACACAGAAACGAGACACCTTCATGGCCAGTAACAACTGCTCAGAGCTCCAAGTCTAGGGTCTAGTGGGAAAGCTGGAAGGCCTGAAATGAGGGGGTCTAGGCGGGGTGACAGCGCCGAGATCTACGGGTTGGGCCTGGCGCAGAGGAGGTGGTTGATGTTTACATTTCCGGGGCCGCCGGGTATTCTGATCCCACTTATCTGCCTGAGGTGTGTGTCCCCAGGACCTCAGCGTACACCATTTTGCCTGCCCCTCAGGAGACAGACAGCTACAGTTGTAACAACAGCCAACACTTTTGTGGCATTTACTAGCAGTTCTAGGCTCTGTACCAAGTGGTGCCTTGTCATTTGCAACTTATATAGTGGGAGCCACTATTGCCCCAGTAGACATTCATTGAAAGCAAGGCTGGCGGGGATCAAACCTCTTGCCCAGCGCCACATCACTGATGAGTGGTGGGCCCGACCTCAAATCCAAGTTGAAGTTCTTAACTGCTGTGCTGTGCTGCCCCTCACGTCGGTGTTTGGGTGGCTATGACTATCTCCTGAGGCTGGAGAACTTTACAGGACGGGCTTTTTGGCTTTGCCTGTGACCTTAACGGGGAGTGTTTCTGTGCTTGACAGGTGAGCACAGGAGTTTGTCCTGGGGTCACGGAGTGTTCTGGTTTCCCTTTGGCCCACATTCCTCATACTCATGCCCTTTCCTGCTAAATGGACTGGACTGCACGGTGGGCCAGGTTTCCTTCTCCAGCCTTCCTACCCAGAGGCCTGGACTCCAGCTCCTCAGTGTCCCCCATCCCTAGTCACTCCACCTGGGGTACTGCCTTTTGCTACTATGCAGCAAGGTTATGGGTGCCCAGCGCAGTGGACTCAGTCCTTTTCAGTCTGAGAGGTCTCCATTTGGTCTCCAGGCACCAGCCCCCATGCCCCAGGCAGTGTCCGGGTCCAGGTCTCCATGACAACTGCCAACGTGTCCTGGGAGCCAGGCTATGATGGAGGATTCGAGCAGACATTCTCAGTTTGGTACGGACCTCTGTGAGTCAGCCCCGCATGCTTTGCTCTCTGCTTCTCCCTCTCTACCCCCAATTGAGTCAGTCCCTGGGGTGGGTGGAGGTTACGAGAAGGATATGGTTCTTCTCCAGTCCTCCAGATGATGAGGTGTGTCGACACAGTGACAATTCTTCTGGGGGATGGGTGTGTCTCAGGGACTCTGGGAGCTCCTGTATTCTGCTCCCAGAAGGTTTGGGAAGCCGTTTTGGGCTGTTGCCTGAGTTGTCTGTTACCTTCTGCTGCTCTCTCCCTAGCTTATCTCACTGCCCCCTTTTTGTGTCCTTAGTTCATCCTTCTTTTAGGTTCCTCTATCCTCTGGAGTCTGGAAGAGACTCCTAATCTTCAAGGGCATTGTGAAACTGCCCAGCTGGAAGCATAGAATCCAATTTTCATTCTGTCCCTTCCCCAGTGGTTCCAGAAATGAGTGTGAAGGGGTGCTTACCTTTCTGGCCTGGTCTTTAGCATCTGCACTTTCTCTGTAGTACTGTGTGTCTCTATTGTGTTTATATCTCTGTTATTGATTTGGCCAGATGCAGCAATTTGACATCTTTGCCCAAACTTTGGGGGAGATAGAGACCTCAGAGTTGCACAAATCATATTCAGAGGGAAATACCTGGAGACTCAGTGAGAGCCCTTGATAAACTTCTCAACAGCAAGGAAAGTTGAGTGGGAACCTACTCTTTCCCGTCATGGTGATTTGGTGGATGTTTCCCAGAATTTCAGTCCTAGGCATTTTGAGCTCTGGCGAGGCAAACTAGACCTAGATGGTGAGCTTGGGGAACTCTGAGTTGCAACTAGAGCACCCTCCCACTCCTTTTCTCTAGCCTTCCTGAGGCAGGGTAGGGACGGGGTGGGGGGTGGGGAGGCCTCTAACAACCCTGCCGAATGTTGTGTGGCCAGGGAAGGGCGTTTAGCATGGCCAAGCCACCTTTGGGGATGCCAGGTGGAAGGTCTGGGCATAGATTGGGGTTTCCCTTGCTGCTTGCGGCTCTGCTTCACGCTGCTGCTCACCTGCATTGCTTTGTCACAGTTTGCTCACTTGCTTTGGTGCCTGGCGGGAAACGGCGGGTACAAAGGTTGGCGGTCTCCTTCCCTCTGTTTTTTTCTGACTGCCTTTAACTCTCCATGTATTGACTGAGACATTTGGCTTTAAGCTTCTTTTTGCTGTGCTTTCCACTGCTTCACCTCCAACTCCTGGGTATATCTGGTAGTGAGCCTTTAACTTAGAGGGGAACCCTTTGGCATCCACTAAATTGTAGCTCAGGGATGCCAGAGGGCTGCCTAGTGTCTCAGTACACAGGACGATGGCTCCTCCCAGTGGTGATGCCGTCCACTGCACCTGTAGACGGCAGACAGGCTGGCTTCCTTGCCAGTGGAATTAGGTGGGCCATGTAGAACAAGTGTTACTGTGCTCCACACGCAGTGTGACCTTCCCTTTCATTGTGATTTCTAACCCTTAAGGCCTTAGGGATCCTGGGGAAACCCTTGTCATCTTTGTCTTATGCTCTGGACCTCCTCAGAGGGCTCAAATCTGGTTGGACTGAGTGAGCCTTCTGGGTTTCTCTAGGTCCCACTTTTGGCTGTACCTGGAAGGGTGGGTGACTGAGGTCACTTGGGTTCTTTCTTTAGTCCTGCTGTTGCTGAGTTTCTCAACCTCACCTTTGTACTATGGTACCTGCCTTGTTTCCAGTGTCCTCACTCTCCCAAGGTAGGGCCACTCTTAGGATTATGATCAGGGTGAGATTCTCCCAAAGTGCAATTGGTAATTTGACTAGTGTTTTAAGCAGTGTTTTGACTTACGCCTAAGGGTGCCTTTTAGAAGAGGAGGTACTGGCAGTGGCTGGTGACCTGGCATCGTGAGGATTGGCACAGCCGAAGTTGGGTAGGGCATCCCGTCTTGGTCATTACCTCTTCCCGTCCTTGAACCTGAGAAGACCAGGTCCACCAACTGCCACCTCCGTGAGGACCTTGCATGCACTCTTGTGTCGCCAGTGTAACCCACCCCACCCTCTTGTCCCCGATCCTCTCTCCTTCTCTTGGCCAGGATGAAGCGGGCACAGTTTGGACCCCATGATTGGCTGTCTTTGTCAGTGCCACCAGGACCCAGCTGGTTGCTAGTGGATGCCCTGGAGCCTGAGACAGCATACCAGTTCAGTGTCCTGGCCCAGAATAAGCTGGGGACGAGCGCCTTCAGTGAGGTGGTCACTGTGAACACTTTAGGTGAGGGCCCGGGCCGGGGATGTCTTGAGGGTATTTCCCAGAAGAGCTGGGGTGGATCAAGACAGTGAGGGCAGTGATGGTCCTGGCAGCTAACATGTACTGCTTATTGTATGCCAGGCACCTTGCGAAACGCTTTATATAGCCCTCTCATTTGATCTCCAATAAGGATTTGCCATTTTGTGAGGTTTGTCTGGACCAAAGTGCCTCGACCAACACTGGAACACTTTTTGGCCAGATTCCTGTTGCATCCTTAGATAGAAGGAAGAGGCTTTGAATTCTAGCCTTCCTGGTCAGGTCACATGTGTGCATCTTCGTGTGACTTCACAGGGGACATTGGGAAGCCTTCCTCCTCCTGTATTCCTGCTACTTCTCTTCTCTGGCCCCCAGCCTCATTAGGTGGCAGGTGTGTGGCCGACTCTTCCTTCCGGGACCCAGCGGCTCTCTCTGTCCCTTCTAGCTGCAGTTTTGTTTATTTTCCTCTCTAGGGCCAGAGAGGGCAGCTGGGAACAGGTGGCACCACTCCGGCCTGCTTTATTGCCACCAAATGGGGCAGCAGTGACAGAGTGCTTACCCCACTCACGAGCTCCCCTTGCTGGGCCTTGGTTTCCCACCGGGGCCAAGAAGGGAGTTGGAAGGGGGAACCGTGTGTGTGGGAAGATATTCCTACTTCCTTGGAAGAGATCAAAAGATACATTTTGTAGTATTTTTTTTTTTAAAGATACTATCTTATTTAATTCTTCCTTGTTCCCTGTAGTTCCCATTTTTTTCCCTTTTGAGGAACTCAGTTCCCTCAGAGGAGACTTTTAGAAGTACTCTGAGACAGGAGCATGACGCTTTGGGCGCACATGCTCTGCCTCCTTCCTTTGGATCAGGAGGGCTCGTTTCTACAACACTCTTGCTCCTGAAATGATGCATGCACTGGCGTGTGGGCATGTGACCTGTCACCTTGGGGCCGCGGTGCCCCCAGAGACACTTGCTGAGCCAGAAGATAGCCCCGGGTCAATGAGGACGCAGTGACCTTAGCACTCCTGTGCTGTCTCCCTTCTCTCTCCGGCCACTGCAGCATTCCCCATCACAACTCCAGAACCCCTGGTGCTGGTTTCCCCACCACGGTGCCTCACAGCCAATCGGACCCAGCAGGGTGTGGTCCTGTCTTGGCTCCCACCTGCCAACCACAGCTTTCCCATTGACCGCTACGTCATGGAGTTTCGTGTCGGAGAACGCTGGGAGATGTTAGACGATGCCATCCCAGGCACCGAGGGAGACTTCTTTGCCAAGGATCTGTCACAGGTGAGGACCGAGTTTTCCCTTGCTTCTTCCTCCCAAATTTTGAAAGTGACAGGGCTCTTTCTAGAGTCACTGGAAGCTTTGCATGTCCTAACTCAGGTATATGAGGTCCTGCCATGTACTGTACCACACCGCTGTTCCTGTATTCTCTCAGACCTGCTACCAAGGTTTGGAATATTCTGATCCTGGTGACTGAGGTCCTGAAGATTCAGGTCCAGATCTGTGGCAGTGGGGAGTTGTATTGCCTTGAGGGGTTTCTCCAAGCACTGACACAAGCTAGGGCAGGGCAGGACATGAGTCCAGCATGTATAACCAGACATTGATCTCAGCTCCTTGTTAGGAGCCTAACTGGGATGGGCAAAGGATTTCCCAGAAGGACTGTCTTTTAGCTTCACTCTTTAACAATTTATAGCCCTGGAGGATATATTATTTTTACCAGTTGACCCCCTTTAAATTTTGATGTCTCTCTAGCTGGGGAGAGGAAGCTGCTTATTTCATGGATACAGACAATCTCTTCTATCTTTCTGTCTTTCTTCAATGAGTACTCATTTAGTGCTGGAATTGGCTCATGGTAGCCCCTGAGAGCCGCTGTGTGCATCTCTTCCCAACACTACTTTCAGTGACCTCACTTGAAATCAGCCATGGTCAGAGTGTTTACACCATGGTGATTGGCAAATGCTACAAAGCAGGACTTTTTTATAACCTGAGAGCTGGTGGTTAAACATCTCCAGTACTTACTGCTTTGGGTGCCGTGTTCTATGAGACATCATTGCAGGGTCAGTGGTGGTGGGGTCAGTGGTGGTGGGGTCAGTGGTGGGTCAGGGGCTGTCTCCGGTCCCTGGGCTGACAGGGTGTTGTTCCTGGGGCTGTAGGACACCTGGTACGAGTTCCGGGTTTTGGCTGTCATGCAGGATCTTATCAGCGAGCCCAGCAACATCGCCGGTGTCTCCAGCACAGGTACTTTGGGGGCGGGGGTTCTCTAACAACTGTAGGGACATAGGCCCCAGAGCTCCATGGGAGTCCCTTTGTGAAATAGCTAATACGGAAAGAGAGGAACATAGGAGTGCTCTAGTTAAAACTGTGAGTTGTTGCATTTCTTTTGCAGCCCATCAGATCCATGCTGGATTTTTCCATGATGGATGGGATTTCTCCCACTAAGAGCTGTGTTAATGGCAGTTTCTCTAAGATGGCCACAGAAAAAAACGTCAGCTAATATTCTCATTATAGCAGTCAAAAAGAACTTGCTTTAAGTTATTTTGCTTAAAATCTGTTTCCTCCAGTGCGATCCTCTGTAATGAGGTGAGGCTGTGAATCGAAGCAAAGAGACAACAGGTCCACTAGTACCTATTGAATGCCTGTTGTAAGATTGCTTTGTAATTATGGTTGTTTTATTTGGAAAATTGCTGTTTGGTACTGTTTCCCTCCACTCCTTCCTCTCCCTAGATTCTTTTTTTTTTCAGGCTCAATAAAGCCAACTCCCTGGCATTTTCTCAGTTTCTCTTTCTTTTTCTTGGCCCTGGTCCGATTTCTACACATCTTTCTCCAGCTACAGTTACTGAAACATCACAGGGTCCCTCCCTCCCTTTGTGGAGTGGCTCTTGGTATGGGAAGAGGTGCTTGCTTAGTGATAAAGCAGTGGCACCATTTCCATGGGCACTGCTCACACAAAGACCCCTGGGAGCAGTTGGCAAGGAGCTTGGCCAAGCGCTGGGGTGGGCAGATGGGGGGAGAGTAGGGCAGAACAGAAGTGGCATGAGAGCATTTGGGGGGAGTGGAATGTGACTTCTGTCTCATATATTATGCACCATTGGGCTTTTTTTTTATTTTTATTTTTTTAATTCTACACAAAGTTACCTCCTTTAGGCAGCAGAACCCAGCATACTTCTGTCTTGGCTTCCCTCCAGGGAAGAGACTCAGAGAGATGGGGGAACAGGGACTAGAGCTTGCAGCAAGGCCAGGATAAAAGACTTGAGGATTTTGTGGGCTCATCTCAGTGAACTGGTCTGTCTTCAGTGGCTTCAGTGTCTGGCTCCCAAAGGGATACATACATAGTTGGATGATTCCTCATGGGCGAATGAAGATGCAGCAACCTCAGTATTCCCTGTAGTTAAGCCTCCATTTCCAAAGACTGTAGCATTCATTCTTCTACTGAACCAATAAGCATGTTTTGGATTATTTTTATCCATCGTTATTATCGACATAGGAGTGGATTCTGGTCAAATAGCTTAGACTATGTAGATTTCCCCTTTGATGAACCTAAAGAATGGCGCTTACTAATATAACTATCCTATGTGTAACATGGTGGACTGGGGTCTAATCATAGCTCTGTCACTAATGAGCTCTGTGAATTTGGGCACAAAGTGAGCCTCGGTTTTTTTTACCTGCAAAATGAGGAAATTGGACCCATTAAGCACATCCCTGCTGGCTCCAGCATTCTGTACCTAAGATGACCAAGATACGCTGCTCTTCTCTGTAGAAGTTGCTCACTCTGTAGTGTAAGGAGTTAGAAATGGATGGATCTGAATTGTATAGTCACAACCCCTCTCCCGGCTGTAATATTTTACCCTCAAGGAGCCTTCACATCTAGGCTCTCATTTGGTGGAGATGGCATTATGGATGGCAGAAAACACCGACCTGGAAGTCAGAGTAACTGTGTGTAGCTGTGGCACTGATATGCAATATCTGCGTAAGCAAGTCACTCACACTCAGCCAATCACAGATTTTTCACTTAGGGAATGAGAACAATAACGTGTGCTCTGTCTACCTCATGGGGTTAAAGTGAAAATATCTGATAATATGCATGAAAGCGCTTTGTAAAAAGCACTAGACAAGTCTAGATTATTACTGAAATTAGTTTCCCCATAGGGGTACGATATAGATGGTGTTTCTTCTTTACTAGCTATGTGGTGACTACTTGCCTTCTGTAAACTATCCCCTCTTCTTCCTTCTCCCTGCCATTCAAATCTCTTCAGTGCTAGAGTTGAGCCTGGCGCCTGAGCCTTAAATTGTGCTAGAGGCAGGGGAAATACCTGGGGACTGGGCATCAGAGTAGGTGGGGTCATGGCGGGCAGGAAAGAGAGGACTCATGCATGCTTCCCACCCCTCCCTGCAGACATCTTCCCACAGCCGGACCTGACCGATGATGGGTTAGCTCGGCCTGTGTTGGCTGGAATTGTAGCTACCATTTGCTTCTTGGCAGCTGCCATCCTGTTCAGCACCCTGGCCGCCTGCTTTGTCAACAAGCAGCGCAAGCGTAAGCTCAAGCGCAAAAAAGGTGGGTGTCACCCCCATGCCCCTACTTTACCTGGCCTGGTTTCAGATGCTCCCCATCAGGAGAGATGGCCCATTTTTAGCATGGTCCCCCTTGAAAAGAGGGAAACTGGATCTTGTGGGTAGAGCTGCCAGTGGGACTTGATTTAAAAGAGGGGAAAAAGGAAGCCGGGATGGTGGGGAGAGTCTCATGGACCAGAACTAGGGTGAAGGCAAGACCTGGTGGTGGGTGGGCACAAGACTCTGAACTAGACCCAAAGAAGCCAGATGTTGAAAGGAGCGGCCTCCCTCTGTGGCTCTGCTTCGGGCTCTGTTGACAGCTGGGACATGTTTCTCTGTCTCGGGCCTCAGCAGGCTCTCTCTCCCCTTCTTCCCTTCCAGACCCTCCACTCTCCATCACTCACTGCAGGAAGAGTCTGGAGTCTCCGTAAGTGCCCCTGACCCCAAGAGAACTGTGACATGGCTGTTTGATGTATGTGGGTGGAGGGTGGAGGGTGGAGACAGGGAGATGGCTTGCTTCACTCAGCCCCCTGACAGTGTTTCTAAGCAGTTGACTTAGAAACTGCATGATAATTTTAAGTGGTCCACACTGCCTTCCACTGAGGGAGCAGTAACGGGGACAATCCAAATTCACGAATAACCCATTTCTGTTTAGCTGTGGAGTGTATTTCTGTGATTTTTGGGTCATCCTAACAGATTTGCCTTCTTAATATGTTTTGCATAGTTAATATTAAACCAAGCTTGCTTTTCGTGAGCAGCTTGGGAGTAAAGTTGCAGGTGTGACTAGAGCATGGCAAACAAGGGGGGAAGGGCCGAATCAAAGTAGAAATGTAGGTGTTCACTCAGTCAACACAGCTAGACAATCGATCGTTGGCCAAAGGGTTTCATGCCAAAATATGCAGTTCATCTGCAGTCCTTTTTCTGAGTCTTATCTTCCCAGGTGTTATGGTTGGTGTTTGTTAAGAGAACAAAAAGAAATGATGGACCAGCGTGTCCCCTGCCTCATCCCTCCTGCTCTCTTGCCTGTTCCCACAGCTTGTCCTCTGGCAAGGTGAGCCCAGAGAGCATCCGGACACTCCGGGCCCCATCGGAGTCCTCCGATGACCAGGGCCAGCCAGCAGCCAAAAGGATGCTGAGTCCCACCCGGGAGAAGGAGCTGTCCTTGTACAAGAAGACCAAGAGGGCTATCAGCAGCAAGAAGTACAGCGTGGCCAAGGCCGAGGCTGAGGCCGAGGCCACGACGCCCATTGAGCTTATCAGCAGAGGCCCCGATGGCCGCTTTGTGATGGGTCCGTCCGAGGTGGAGCCCTCCGTGAAGGGCAGGCGCATCGAGGGCTTTCCCTTTGCGGAGGAGACAGACATGTACCCTGAGTTCCGCCAGTCTGACGAGGAGAATGAGGACCCGCTCGTGCCCACATCTGTGGCTGCCCTGAAGTCCCAGCTGACCCCTCTGTCATCCAGCCAGGAGTCCTACCTGCCACCACCAGCATACAGCCCTCGGTTCCAGCCCCGTGGCCTGGAGGGCCCCGGAGGCCTGGAAGGTCGGCTCCAGGCTACAGGCCAAGCCAGGCCCCCTGCTCCCCGGCCCTTCCACCACAGCCAGTATTATGGGTACCTCAGCAGCAGCAGCCCTGGGGAGGTGGAGCCGCCGCCCTTCTACATGCCAGAAGTGGGCAGCCCCTTGAGCTCTGTCATGTCCTCTCCACCTCTGCATACTGAGGGGCCTTTTGGCCACCCCACCATCCCTGAGGAAAATGGAGAGAATGCTTCCAACAGCACGCTGCCCTTGACTCAGACGCCCACAGGCGGGCGCTCCCCTGAGCCCTGGGGCCGGCCAGAATTCCCCTTTGGGGGACTGGAAACCCCGGGCATGATGTTCCCCCACCAGCTGCACCCCTGTGATGTATCCGAGAGTCTGCAGCCAAAGGCCTGCCTCCCCCGAGGACTGCCCCCCACCTCCCTCCAGGTGCCCGCGGCCTACCCGGGCATCCTGTCTCTGGAGGCGCCAAAGGGTTGGGCAGGCAAGTCGCCAGGCAGAGGCCCTGTCCCAGTGCCCACCGCCGCCAAGTGGCAGGACAGACCTATGCAACCTCTGGTGAGCCAAGGGCAGCTAAGACATACCAGCCAAGGTATGGGCATACCCGTGTTGCCTTACCCCGAGCCAGCCGAGCCGGGGGGGCACGGCAGCCCCAGCACATTTGGCCTGGACACCCGGTGGTATGAGCCCCAGCCCCGGCCCCGGCCCAGCCCCCGGCAGGCCAGGCGCGCCGAACCCAGTTTACATCAAGTGGTGCTACAGCCCTCCCGGCTCTCGCCTCTGACCCAAAGCCCCCTCAGCTCCCGCACTGGCTCCCCTGAGCTGGCTGCCCGGGCCCGGCCTCGCCCTGGCCTCCTGCAGCAGGCTGAGATGTCAGAGATCACCCTCCAGCCACCGGCCGCTGTCAGTTTCTCTCGCAAGTCCACACCGTCCACGGGCTCCCCATCCCAGAGCAGCCGCAGCGGGAGCCCCAGCTACCGGCCCACTGTGGGCTTCACCACTCTGGCCACGGGCTACCCCTCCCCTCCGCCAGGCCCTGCAGGGCCTGGAGACAACCTGGATGTGTTTGGACAGACGCCTTCTACTCGAAGGATGGGGGAGGAGCTGCTCAGACCAGAGCCCCCCCCACCACAGTTACCTACTTCAGGGTGAGTGTGAGCTGGTTTCTCCTGCCCATCTTCACCGGTCATCTTCCTGCCCCCATACCTTATCCCACCCTCCACCCTTCCATCAACCCGAATGACAGGGCTTGTCTGGACATGCTACAGCATCCCTTCAGGAGAGGAATTCTGGTCTTGACGTCAGCAGGGTGTGCCCATTGGACTGGGGGTGGGGCTTACCCGCCCAGGTACTCTGCCAGGAGCATAAGGGATCTTCTCCACCCAGCTCAGAGCTCTCAGGAGGCCCTCCAGGGTGATGGAGAGTGGGTACGCATGGGCAAGGGGGTGGGGCACGGTATGTCTGAGTGAGTAGTCACCCCACTTGTGGAGTCATCCACTTGTGGAGTGGAGAGCTTACCACGTCCCTGTGACCTTGACTTTGGGGCTGGTTCCAGGGTTTTCCCGGAGACCTCGCATGTAGCCTCCTTTTCTTCCCCTGCCCCTCCTTGTTTAGCAAGACCCTGAAACCTGACTTCCTTGGACCGTTAGGCAAGGGGCTCCTATTCCCAAGCTCCTGCCCTTAACAGCCCAGTGAGCCCCAGACCCCTCCCACAGCCTCTCCAGGAGGTGCATCCTCCTGGATCTCAGGCCGTGAACCCTGGGCCTGTAGTCACATGCCCCACCCCCACCTGTGTGCCTCACAGGAAGCTGCAGCCAGACAGCCAGACAGACAAGCTCCTGCAATCAGCCTGCCTGAGAGAGCACACTCTAAACTGTAGCAGCTGGTATTCCAGGTACCAGAGTCAGCCTGGATGCCTGTCTGTGCCTCTTCTTCTCTCGTCTTTCTTCCTCTACCCTCTTCCTTTGTCCTCCTCCTCCCCGTCT